AATGGAAGAAAGAAGTGTACACTACTTACTTCGGCAGATATTTATGACCATGTAAGTTCAAGTATGTGGTGTAAAGTATTTGTAATGAGCTATGGATTCATTAATTCAAGCTAAATAAGCGGCGTAGGCATGGCAAATGTGCGATAGAGGCATTTGCGACTAACATAACATGACATAAATCAAATCAATGTTTTGCTGGCAGGATGCGATGTCTTGAGATCAGCAAGCAGTAACGTGACATTGTGGTAATGTTGAATGAAGTAGGTTTAACTTGTGTTTTTTTCGTCGCATATCTCTTGAATGAAAGTTTAGGTTATGTTCACATTGAAACTTAAACTAAGTCAGTATCCGTTCGTTCTATCACTGCCATAAAAAGTCTAATGAGGAAGTGTGGTGATCTCCGAAACAGCTGTCACTTCAGCATAATTTAATGTTATGACCAAGAATTAGCTGACACAGCTGTCTTGAATGAATTCCAACTGAGAGATCCCATTTTCGATCCAAAGAGGTGGTTAGAGTCGGGCTTGGACTTATAGCATGGGTATGGTTATGTCAGGCTCAAGTCTGTATAAGTGGGAATTAATTCGACTACAATATATAGATCTTAGATCAAGCATTGAGCCGGACTCTTGAGGCAGCTCGATCTCTTGGTCTGCAATAGATGATGGTTTGACTTCGAGCACGCGATTCACTGGAAGTTAGTTCAGAAAGATGTTGAGAGATTCTTGGTGAATGGCGTTTAATGCCTGTAGTTAAGCTCTTTTATGCAGCAGTTGTTGTAGTTGGTGATGTATGCAAACCTTAGAGTCGAGTACTGCCTTTCTGATGTGCCTAGGTGGTGGTTCGGCTTCTTGTAATTGTCTGTTGGAGTTCGCCCTACTATAGCATCTCAGCAGAAATTGCTTGCTAGCATAACATTAAGCTCCTTAACTCATAAAATAAATGTGCTAATGATGCTCTGGCGACATCATGAAGTCCAAAGAATAAATCGTTTCGTACAATAAGATCTTGGAGAACACGACAGTAGATAATGGGTTCATCTAAAGTTTCCTTCAATAAATTGATTTTTTCGTTGGCCGTATGAGATGGAGCTCCATCTTGTTCGGATTAAACCTTGTCCACATCAACAACCTACAATTCAGGCGCAAAAAAGTCATTAATAATAACTCTATAACATTATGGTCGGTTTAATTTTTGAAAAACACCAAACAGTGACTTTTTGACGATGTAAGTGCGTCGTCACAGTGGCCTGTGGATTATCATCACTCTAAAGGCAACAATTGTATTTATTAACGTACTGATTCAACCAAAATTGCGCTTCATCGCTGAACAAATTTTTCTCGTGAAAATTGGTATCGGTGGTCGTTCGGCTTCAATTCTCGCACGAGTTGGGTTTTGTAAGATCGCAAACAAAAATAATTTTGCAAAATTTTTCTTAAAGTGGATGGCCACAGCACCAATAGTAGCGCACGATGGCGGATAGATGCATTCGTAGCAACAGAGTCTTCGGTGCGTACTGTATGGCGTCTCTGAGGATGCGCATTATCCACTAGATTGCTCGAATTATCGATTCTGCCGGGCGAATATATCGACCGAATAGCAACGGCAGTCAAAAAGAACACCATGCGCCTAAATAAACACCCTTTAAAACTTCCTATCAATACTTTTTCCGTCCGTCTTCAACTATTTATTGCTTTCTTTTTCTTTTTACTCGCAATTGCAAACACAATCAGCTCTTTGCATATGCATGACTGTGTGCTTGTTGATTGTCAAGCCAAATCGCGAACTGTCAATTGAATTTGTTGAAAAAATAATTGACGCGAACAACAGCTGTTGAAAGTGAGCTGCAACTGTTTTTTGTTTTTTTTTTTTTGTTTTTTTAATGAGGTATTATAAGTAGTGTGTTTATCGCATTCGCGCTAGTTAGTTTCGTTGAATTAACTAAACAAAGTGACATTAACAACTTAATTCAATTAACGATATACATATATATGTACAATGCATGTAAATATGTTAAAACATGTTTTGATAAATACTATACTTAAAGCAAATGGAAGCCATTAAAGAGGAGTTTTGTGTAGTGGCTTTGTTTAAAACCGTCGAAATGTTGGTTAATTTATTTTATGCGGCATTTCCACGACAGAACAATTACGAGTTTCGCTCTCTCAATCGTCATTCGCACTCCAAATATAATACATACCGAACTGCTTAGTAATTCGCCATACAAACTTTTGTGAGCGAATTACAGTAAAAGTGGGTAATTCGTTCTCAATTGTCATTCGATTGCCTTCTTTAATTTTTATCGACATTTTATCGAAACTAGCTGACAAATCAAAACAAAAGAGATGAGTACCACAAAAGCAAACACTAACAGGCCTATTCTCTCGAGGTAACAAAATTTACTTTGGTATTAAATTTTACCATTCAGTAAATTTTGTTACCATTTCGTATTCTGAGTTCAATGTCACCTTGTAAATTTTGTTACCAGCGAAATAGGAGGTAACAAAAATATCTGCTGTTTGATTTTGTGTTGTAAGTTTGAGAAAAAATAAAAAACCAAAATGGGCATATTTTAGGCCTGGATTTCAGTGAAGATGAAGAAAAAAGTGCAAAATGCCGTATTTTAAGAAGTTTTCGAGACTAAAAAATAGTCCTTTAATTTGTAAGATAACGTTTTCATTTAGCTTTTTTTGTTGTCCAGGCATATATTCCATAAATAGGTTCAAATATTTATGATTTAATAAACAAATTAAAAAAAACTTTTTAATTTTTTTGTGCACCGTCTTCCATTTCGATGTGAATATTTTTCTTTTTACTTTATCAACTGGCAAATGTAATTTGACATGGACGAAAAAAGCAGTGCTGCCAAGTTTTTTTTCAAACATTGTAACCAGTTCGCCGGAATACAAAAAAAAGTAACAAAATTTACTTTACCGGTAATAGTGAGACTAGGCCTGTAATAGACAAACATTTATTTGAAGCCAAATACTTTTTGTATATTAAAGAAGAAGAAAATGAGAAATTATTAAAGAAACTGCCATTAAATTAACAATTCAATTCAAGATTTTGTTAGCTTCAACTAAAATCTTTAATTTTCCATGCATTTTCAAATGGACCGAAAACTATCAAATTTCGTGCCGTGGGAATGGGGGTAATTATAAATCTAGACGATAGAATGCTTGCTAAACCAACATCCAGTCAAAGAAAGCTCCACATATAAATCCATCAGTCATTCGGGGGCAGTTTTAGTGGGTAGGTCCCTTTTTTCTTGGAAAATCAGATCCAGACATTTAAAAGTTAGTGCTGGGTGAAAAAGCTTAAGGCTAAATAGGTCCACATAGTTGGCTCAAGATTCTTCTAAAGTTCCGTGGCCCTTTTGTTTTGCTGGGATTTGGTCGATCTTGAGACAAGCGGCTCGTTATAAGCAGAACTAAAACTTCCGCAACATCTTCCTTATCGATTTGAGAAACGTATTTTGCAGTTACAACAACAACAGCAGCAGACGTTACAGACGGAGAAAGGGCGGTAAACGAAAATATATCTTTTATGCTGAGTAGTGAAAAGGTAGAGATTCTGTTTTCAGGTACTGTGTTTTTGTAGCAGTTCGCTTACACCGTTTGGTAGCAGGTAAAGTTTGGAAATAAGCCGTTTCGCCGGGCTTGAAACATTGAAAGTGGGGTCTTAGATGAGTTGGTATAAGCGAACATACAAAGGGAAAGAAGCTGCCGGAGCTCATTGAATGTTGGGTTCGAGCTTGAAAAAGTCGATGTTGAGCCCACCACAGTATTCAGACCTTAGTTGGCCAGGATTATTCGAATGTCATTGCGCAGCTGAAGAACCTCGTCTGAAATAGATGATAGTTGGGGTCCAATAACGCCATTCGATGCGAAAATTGTTAAGGAAGATGCTGTTAACTCTCTATGAATAACACTCAAGGCTGCACATCTCGTTCGGCGATTCCAACTGTATCGAGTTCGTGTAATTGTCTAAGTGCTTCTAATGCATAAGACCGGAAGGAGGCTTTTTTTTGGCGACCTAAGTCCAACGGATTCTAGTAACACCTTTAACAAGAAACGGTATTTACTTTTGTTTTACTATTTATGACTGACATGTAGGTAACACGTCAGGTCCAGAGGTTCTGTTAAGTATTACTTTATACAGTTCATCTAGCTTTGTACCTTCTTTCTCTGATGTGACCATGAAGCGGTTCACAGATTCTGCGGCCTAAGCCGAATGTACGAACAACCTGCCACAAATGACATTACACTCACGATCTGAAGAGGCGAATGACGTTACCAAAGAAGGTATCTTACTGCAAAACCAGCTCAAAATTGGTTGAGGGTGAACGCAACCGTTCCAGCTCTAGAGCCGAGAGCTAGATTTTAACACGTAAAGTTTTGTCAAGATTCCTGATTATAATTATATCGAATGACGAATGACTGTATAGACAATATTATCTCTATTGTCTTAGGGGTGTGAACTCTCGGAAGGTCGAGCATAGGCTTCGTCCATCATTTTATTGCAGACAACAATACACAAGTTGCTGTCCCGTCGAGTCGGTATTATTCATAATAAAAAAAACACTTAGTATTGGAAATCACATACAAGGAGCTCCGAGCTCGGAATGCCTGCAAAAGCAATAGGGCCCATATATATAATACAGCAGGCGCATTAAGAACTAACTTAACAAAGGTCTTGAAGTCTTCTTCGACGCTATCAGCTAGCCGCCTGCAAGTCATGAACCATCTATGAAGGATATGGCAGCATACGAAAGTCGGAGTAGAAAAAATCGGGGTAACCCTATGCACAATGTGGCTGAGATAAAGAAAATCCACCTGTCAAGTACAAAGTACTTATTTCCTGCCGAACAAGGCTCAGAAACTCCCTTTTTCATCCAGCCAACCACCAGCAATATTTAAATTTATAAAAACGAAACAAATTTTCGGGGAAATAAAATTTATATTAGAAAAATATGCGTAGAAGCATTAAAATGTCTCCCCTGTTCTCACTGAAATTTTGAATCCCTCACTTTGTCAGCTTTACGGCAGCGAAGATCCCCAAGCCGGTGAGCAGTAAAACGAAACCTAAAGCGGATATTAATTTTACTGCGCTCATCTCCACAACCATGTTGCTGTGAGCTTTCTGCCATAGCGACTGGGAGGTACTTTCTATCTGCTCATTGTTAGCTGCACGCTCCCTTGTTATGTCTACGCCTTCCTTTATCTCCTCTCCCACGCCTTTTGGCATCATTACTCTAAAGGCGATACGAGATATTTCTGATACCTCTGCACCATTCGAAGCACGCTTTTCATACTCGCTGTGTGACTCATCGGACAGGTTCGTGTTCCGCTTGCGTCGCCACAAATTGGTGATTGCGCTGCAATTGCTCGCATCTACATGACAGTCTCGCGCCTCTAAACAGCCCGTAATGCGCATGGATAAGACTAGCTCATCGCCGCTGCGCATACCCTGGAACATAACAGCCTTGAAAGACAAACGATGACCGAGCGGTGGGTCGTAGCTGGGCGGTTGTGAGCAGACACTTTGCATGGAGGGATTTATACAGCCACGGGAGGTTATAAGGGCGACATTGTTGAGCAGCTCGCCGGTAGGTGAAATGCGTTGCACATTGACGTCCGTCAGTTTAGTGTAGCTCCAACCTGTGTGAGATTATCAAATGGATTATTGTTGGAAGGTGTTCATACTTTAGCATCGATTTACCGTCACCAGCAATAACATGCGCGCGCAGTAACAGCTCCTCGCCGAGCAATACAGCGCTATCGGTGTCTAATTGGCGCGTGAAGCCCTTCGGCGTACGTCGAAAGAGTTCCACGTGCGTACGAAAGGGCAGCTGTGTGCCACCGTGCGCGTACGTGCCGAGACTTCGCGCTTGTCTGCAAAAATATTTACAGACAATGTAAAGTGATTTAGTAAATCTTCAATTCTTCTGAGTCGCATTCACTTACACCTCATTTGAGACACTCATCTTCAGCGCATGTGTTTTCACCGCCACGCGCTCCTGTATCTTGCAGTGCAGTGTCAGTATACCGTCCGTGCTCGTACGCATGCCGCGTATGGTGGGAAAACGTAGTCGTAAACATAAATCCTTGCCACACTCATGCACTCCACACTTTTCAAAATCTTCCTCTGCGATATCTGTCACAACGTAACTGCGCGCTAATTTCAGCTCACAACGCTTGTCACTCGCGTCATTGTCGACTGTCGGTGTTGCACCTATGAAACTGTCCACCTTAAGCACGGCACGAAAGTAGCCGCCACTTTGTTGCATGCAACGCATTTCATGTACGCGTAGTCTCAAAGCATTGGAAGCTACAGCTGAGCCCTCGATTGAGTTGTCGTCTGGTGGTAAATAAATTGGTGCGGGTGTAGATGGCGGCGGCTGTGTTGGAAGCTGGAATGGTGGACCAGCAGGCACGTTGTAATTATAACCCTGGTCGGTAGGTGGCTGCAGCGCGACTGGTTCATTATCACCGGGCGCTTGTATAGAGGGTAAAATGTCTGTCGGATCGACAACCACAATAGGCTTAGGGTATTCCGTTGTACTAGTGGTGCTCGTCGTTGGTATGAAGTTTGATGTGGGACGTGGGTAAAAGTAACCAGCACTGTTGGAAGAAAACATCTATCAGTTTAGTTGGTCAAAACAGTATTGCAGCAAAGACTGGTGTCTTTGCAGAAACTAATTATCGACTTCAATATGAAGACACGTCATAAAACCGCTAAAATAGGGAAAACGTAAAAGCAGAATGCCAAGGTTTTGACATCGCCTGGTATGAAGTGACTCAACCATCAAATGTGATGTTTTGTTGTCGTGATTTGGCCGGGCTGCCTCTATATAAGAAAGGCTGGTAAGGTGCTTTGGCAGTGACTGAGGATGACGTCGCCTGGTAAGATGTGGTGTGTTGTTGTCGTGATTTGGCCGGGCTGGCTCTATATAAGAAAGGCTGGTAGGGTGCTTTGGCAGTGACTGAGGGTGACGTCGCCTGGTGAGAGATGTGGTGTGTTGTTGTCGTGATTTGGTCGGGCTGGTTCTATATAAAAAAGGCTGGTAGTGCGCTTTGGCAGTGACTGAGGGTGACGTCGCCTGGCAAGATGTGGTGTGTTGTTATCGTGATTTGACCGGACTGGTGCTATATAAGAAAGGCTGGTAGGGTGCCTTGGGAATGACTGAGGGAGGTGGGTGAATTACTGAGACATGGTGTGACACTACATATAACGTAATATTTCAGCAGTTTGGGTGAAATAATCCAATAAGCTAGGATAAGCTAGCACTTCACTTTACGCCATGAACAGCTTGAATACCTTTTACACCTTTTCAAATCACTAAACTAAAACTTAACTATTGTACTAAACTAAACTTTTTTACTTCATAAAGAACACTTAATTTTCACTTACCCAAAACTTGGCGGACGTGGTTTTGCTATGTCGTAGTTTGGTCGATCTTCAGCCGGAGCCAAATATTGATTTTGCAAAGGAATGAAGTTAAATCTACCGCCACCACTCTTCGCACTGCGATTCTCCACGATCTCAGGCAATGTGAATTCAGTGCTGGTAGATGGTCGTACTGGGGCAACAGGCGAATGTGTTGATATCGTTGGCACTGCTGGCGCTGGAGTGGAAGGTGACACATCGCCAATGGCAGGGATACCACCTGGCTGCGTTGGGGGCAACAGTGGCGGTAATTCATACAAACTCGGCACCGAAGGCTGCGTTGGTGCTGAAGACACAGGATATGTAGCAAACTGTTGTTGTTGTTGTTGTTTCTGTTCCGGTTGCGGATGCAGAAAGTGATCAAAATCGTGTGACAGAAAATGTGAAATATCCGCGACGACGGATTGCAGGAAAAAGAGCGCGAGTGTGAAAATAATTGAAGCCATTACACTATTTTGTCTTTCAATAAACTAATGACTTTTTTGCATCGCCAACGCTTTTTATACTCAAATTTAAATTCATTTTGTTTTGTTAAATTAAGCGAATGCTTAAGCCACGATTTATGTTTTAAGTTTCGAAAATGGTCGCGATTCTTATTTTCGCTTGTAAATAACTTACTTTCATTTACAATTTACGCATATGACATTTGGCTGAGAATAACGGCAGGCGGTGATCGTTCAACGATTGTAAACAAACAATGCTGCCGACGGTGGTAAGTGTTGGAGAACGCACGTTTTTCATGTTACATGGCGTATGCGCGCTTTTTTTGTTGTTGTAATATAAACTCCACTCACTTGTTCATCGTATTTTATTGTACTTTCTTCAAGCACGATTTGAGTATTTCCACCATTTGGTATAAATATGTGTTTTAATTGGTGTTAACTATTGGGAGAGGTTAGGGCAGTTTTAGGTTGACTTTGTTTTTTGATTAGAAAAGACGGAAGAAAATGGGCGCCGTTGATATATAATATGTAAAATGCATGATACTTGACAAGAATTTGTGAAGCTTTTTATCTTAACTTAACTAATTTAAATAATTTAAATAAATTTATATCCGCACTCAAAATCGAAGGAGTTAAGAGTTGAGACATTTTAATATTTTTATTTTTTTATTTTTATTATTTTTTTTTGTTACTATTTTTAAAAACTACTTGTATGTCCATGCTTATACAAATTATATGTGAAATTTGCTGGTTTTTCGTAATTTATTATATTATTGTCACTACACGGCATACCGAACAAATCACATTTTCGTTTGACATCTCGCTTACATTGACAACTACAAAACAAATGACAGCTCTCATATGGACCCACAGTATTGAGTGCTGCTTAAGGCTAAAGTAACTGCAAAAGATGTTCCTCAGAGGCTGAGAAAGAGTAGAGAAGATATTGATAAATTTTGTAAAAAGTACACAAAAACAATTTTTTTACACACGGATTTATATTAACATCTGTACATACATATGTACATTTGTATGAACAACAACTCACAACCAATCACAATCCTCAAACATCGCTTTGGTCATGCCATTATTATTATTTTATTATTATCGTCGTCTTAACATTGGTGCATACCACCAGCTGTGCCGCACGCGCAATTCAACCATCAGCTAACATTCATTCATTGTCCAAATTCGTCTTATACCAATCAATGCACAATAAATCCTCGTACAGCGCCACCATAAATGGGCGCCACAGCAGCTACTCGCTGCATCTTGTGTGCATCCGGAAAGGGTAAAAGCGATGCATGCATTGCGTACCTATCAAACAACACACACACACGCACGCAAACATGCACAACAAAGCACTGGCGACCAACGATAGCATTTCATTTTTTTTTTTTTTGCTACATTCCATTTTTCGCATTATTATTGTAAAAATTTCATAATTTCGCAATATATCATTTTAATAGTGAAATGTCCGCTCTTGTCTTGTGTTGTCAACAAGAAACCAACTTGTCTTTTTGATTTCTTTTGCGGTGCCTGTTGCTTGACAGTTGTGCGTATGCTTGCTTGTCATATTTTTGTTGCATTTTCGCTTAATGCAGTTGCTGTAATAATGTCATTATAAAGGCGAGTGCGTACGTGTACATAATGAATGTAGGAAAATCTAAAAAATGCAACAGCTTACGTTGATTAGGTATTCGAAAATTAGGTTAAATTACAAAGAACAAAAAAAAATCGCATGTGCTATTGTGAATGCTTATGTCCGTAAATTAGGACAATTTTTTTTGTTGTTTACCTCAAGAGCAAATAAATAATTAAATTGCTGAACTGAAATAACATTTGATTGGATTTTACTTAATACAGCAACGTAGTGATAAATGGTCGCCAAAAAATTTAATAAGGATCGGTTATATGTATGTGTCTCCACTTGTAGTAAGCTAATCGATTGTTATGGCAGAGACAGACTGCAAATATTATTTGCAAGTCCTCGAGATATCGTGTTTCAAATGCATTTGAACTGTATTTGCGAATATCAATATGACAATGCTGACTTATTGGATGAGTGCATAAGTTCGTGCCCAATTTCAAGTGCAAACTAAAATTGAAATTTTTTGAGAAAGCGCTTTTATTAATCAATTATGTATTCGCCATCATGTTCGGCAATCCACTCCCAACGTTCAACCAATTTATGGATGCCTGATTCATAGAAATCGTGCGGTTTCGGGTCGGTTTTGCAACATGTGGCCTGGCTTTGTCATGATGGAAAAGAACTCCTTTGCGATTGGCCAAAATCGGACGTTTTTCATCAATTGCTTTCTTCAATTCGACCAATTGCTGACAATACTTGTTGGCAGTAATCGTTTCTCCAGCTGGCAAGAGCTCAAAATAGATCACGCCTCGGATATCCCACCAAATGCACAACAGTACCTTCATCGGATGCAATCCATCTTTCGACATCGTTTCCGCCCCTTCCTGTGCCTGTTTCCATGTTTTTTTGCGTTAAACATTGTTGTACAGGATCCATTTTTCATCACCAGTCACGAGCCGATCCAAAAAAGGTTCGTTTTTGATCCGTCGAAGCAAAGAAATTGCTGTTGACATACAGTCCACTTTGTTTTTTTTCACTCAACTGATGTGGCACCCATGTATCGAGCTTCAAAGTGTACCCAACCTTTTTTAAGCCACGAAACGCAGTTGATTTGTTGACGTTCAATTCACTGGCAACCTCTTCCGTCGAAATACGTGAGTTATTCGCAACTAAAGTCCTTAGAACATCGTCATCAAGCTCAGAAGGCCGTCCATTGCGAGGTTGATCTTCGAGGTTTAAATCTCCAGAACGAAATTTCGTGAACCATTTCTTTACTGTGCGGAGTGCTGGGGCACGGTCCAAATAAGCTTCGCGAATATCTTTAGTTGTTTTTCCTTTGCGGAATTCGTATAACATAATATGACGCATATGATCTTTTTCGTTGTCCATCTTCCATGCGTCTTTTCACTAAGCAACTCAAATCGAAATGAAGTTATTTTACTCGAATACTATATTAATTTATATTAGTGCAAATTAATGCAACTTAAATCAGAAAGTCTGTCTCCCCTTTTGGCATCTTAACAGCTGACTTCCAGAACATTCAATTATTGTGAATATTTTAGAACATATTCGATAGAGTTAAATTGTGAAAAGTAAAAAAAAGGATTGAAAGCTAATTTTTTTTTTTTTTTTTTTGGCAGCACTGTCAAGAGAAGTAAAAATTGCTAGTGTAATCACATGTTTCTGTTCATATACAAAGGAACAGTTACAAGAGGACAATTTAAAAACTGATAGTCTCAATATCAGGAGCTGTATTCGATATTCGATCAATTACAATTCAGCGAAAGCGCTTCTTAATACATACAAGCATAATTAGCGCCTTGTAAACGCTAAAACGATTATCGGCCGAGCTCCTCCTCCAAATTGTGATCTGTATTTTGATGTTATTCCAACAAATGGAGGGATCTACAGTTTATTCTAAGCAGCTCTCGAACGGCCGAAGAAATTGTATAAGGAGCTTTTATTTCATGTCTCTCGAAGGGCTTGACATTTCCTGCCGTCGGATGGTGGCTTTTAGAAAAATATATTTTCTTTAATTTCCAATGTTGGTCGGAATAGAACTCAAGCACTGGTCATCCGAATATTTGTACGCTACGCTCACCATTCGGCTACTGCGGCCTCGTCTTAATACACAATGATAATTCGTTTGTACGGCACTTTTAAACTCTCGATGACAATCGAAGATCGGTGCCGTTCATATTACATGTCAACTACTGTTTTATCCAACTTGTGATTTGTCCTGACAAAGTCTGCTTAAGTCAACTTTTAAAACCTTTAATAGCGCTCCACCACCAAAAGATTTTGATTTCGTTTTACTAAAACGTACACAAAAATTAGCTGTCAGTTGGTAAATTAGCTCATTGTGAATATTTTATTTGCCTTCGTAAGAGGGTTCCAGAGCTGGTTTTATTACATTTCCTTTTTTTGTTTTTGTCGCTGAATGTAGTTCAAAATGAATTTTCCAAGTTAACCAGAGCATTTTAATTTTTTTGTTAAAATCGGCGTTTTAAAATAAATCGAAAATATAATAGAAAAATACTTATAGCTATATTTTCCTTTCAAATTTCAGCATGAAAAATGAACAATGATAATTTTGGTTTTCCCACACAAGGCGAACGTCTGTTGCAAGCACAAAATCGCAGAAAATTCAGTTTTCCAGCAACGCTTAGTTCTGCCTCCCTCTTGGAGGTGAATCAAAATATAACAAGGCGACGTCTTAGTAATGTCAGTGATGTGGTTACACGAAAACTATCCTATACGATCGGTTGGAAGGCAACACAAATACCCACACAGGATATTATATCACAGGTGAGCGTTATGGAAAAAAACACTTAAATGCTCAAAATAAATAGAAAAAAATTAATATTTTTAAAGGGTCGTTGCATTTGTGGTCAATACATACGGCGTCGACTACGCCGTTCGGGCTTATTCAATAAGAAACTGGGTTTTCAACGCATACGCAGCATACTCGGCACATCCTCCATGGAAGTAGTGCGCGAAGTGTTCCCAGCTGTAATGGTGGTGAGTGGTTTTTCCTCACATAATGTGAGGGAAAAAATTTATATTTTTTAATATTAATTAATACTTAACACAGCTTGGTGACGAACTGGAGCGCATGCATCCGCGCGTTTATACAGGCGTTGCCAGGCAAATATGTCGTGCGCCAGGCGGTGAATTTCATTCAGCCGAAACGGTTACGTTACTTTTAGGCGCAGTTGGACGTGATTTATTTCGTTCCGAAATCACTTGGAGTAAAGTAATTTCGTTATTTGCCATTGCTGGCGGTCTCTCTGTAGATTTTGTACGTCAAGGTCATCCGGAATATGTGCCAAAGTTGGTAGATGGCGTTTCGGAGGTGATTGAAGATGAGTTGGTGTCGTGGATCAATGAGAATGGTGGTTGGGTGAGTATTTGCTATCAAACATTTTTTAATTAAATTATTATATATATTATTTTTTAATTAATTTATTTCTCTTAAATTATATTTGTAGATTGGTCTCAATACCCACGTTTTGCCAGTGACTAGTAATTTTAGTCCTTTAGAATGGACGACAATTATTATTGGCTGCATTTTCGGTTTATTTGTCATTTATATGCTTTTAAGGTTTATATTTTTTTATTTAGTGCCAAAAGTATATCAACGTCTGACTTCATAGCAAAACGACAAGAATCCAAAATTCAAAAATGCATATTTGTATGTTCCCATAATGTACTTATTTAATTTTATTAAAAAAAAATGACATTCATATAACATGTTGAAAAAAAAATTTTTTAAGTAAAAAAAATTATAAATAAATTTAATTCCTAAATAAATAAATAAACAAATTTTTTTCTGTTTTAATTAAAATTGTATTTAAACGGTAAAAGCTGCAGCTCACAATTACTTTTTATTTATAGTTACTTTGCCGGCGAATAAATCAGTCGATTGCTGTTTGCTATTGAAATTATTGTATTATGATATTATTATATTATAAATTATTTAATTTTTAATTATTTAACTTTTTAATTATTTAATGTATTTTATCATTAAACACTTTGAAAATTTTTCGTATTTTAAATACAACCCTTCTTACAAGTAAAGTTTACTGCAAACGGAACTGCTCACATTTAATTCCGCTCACCGGTTTGTGTCTTCGCTAATTGCCATTTGGTTTATTTCAACGCTAATTCTATTCTATTATATTTTCACAAATGAATAGCAAAGCTAGCGCATTTGCCGGCAATTACAGTTAACTCTTTCGTGCACGCACAAATAATTAACAATTTAAAAGCTTCACAATCACACAGCTGATTTGCGTGTTTATCTTGCCTTGCGCCCACTGATCGTTACCACAAATGGCTCCAAAGCAACGGCTGCTCTTACTTACTCAAAGTATTTACTTTTTTGGTTTTACTTGCTCTCTTATGCACTGCACACACGCTTGCACATAAACATAAAGCTACAAACAACATTTTATTTGCTCCCCATTTCTTAAAGGCGCTAGCTACTAGGTGAGCAATGGCGTTAGATGACAGCTTAGCTCCAAATCAGTCCAATCTTCTAGCCAGTTGTGTACGTGTTGTGTGTTAGAGAGTGCTACAGCGCGTATGAACAGAAAAACAATAATAATAATAATAATTGGCAGTTTTAGTATTATAAAAACAGAAAAAGTGCAATCGCGGCGGCTCAATTTAATCATTTAATATATTTATTAGCTATCTCTTCAACGCTTTGAATTCAATATCAACAATTATTTAATACGTTTTAAAAGTACCAGTATTGTGTCTACATATATGAATGTACATACATACAACTTAGAATATGCTTTTTTAAGAAATTCTTTACTTTTCTCCTTAGCTCGTTTTATTTTGTTTCTTCCATTCATTTCATATCACCAAAAAGAAACACAACAAATAATAAAAGAATAAAAAAAAATTAATGTAGGAATTCGCGGCTTTGACAGTGGATTGAGACGACAGCGAGCAAAAAAAAAAAAACATAAGCAAATAAGAAAAAAAAGCCAATACGGTTGCCCGAGTAGACAAACACGCTCATAATTTTTCACTTAATCAAAATAAAAAGCAAAAGCAAACGCAACGAAATTTAATCGAAAACAGACTATAAGAAATTAATTTTCAACGTTGCAAAAGTTAAGCTCACGAACAGTTTGGCAAGTTCGTCGTCTTCGGGGAGTAGCTCGTTGTCGTTGTTGGAGCGACTACAGCACAGCTGAGCGGAGATCAAAATTAAGATTGTGATTAGTATTTGTGAGACCGAGATCAACGCGCAAAAGTCTACGCGCAGGTAAAGTCAAATTGAAAATAAGCGATAGGAATGGCATGGAAGCAATAGTGTCTGTAGCTGGCTGGCGAAATGGCAATATTTTAATGAATAATGATAATAGATCAGTGAAAAGTAAAATAGCAGTGAAGGTTGCGGAGAAATGTAAAGAACTAAAAGCGAGAAAATAATTTATGAAAAAATAACTACAGTTAAATATGTAAGACAAGCATCTCGCCTGCTTGAATAGAAACCTCAAGTGCACCACAAAAATCTTGCTGCTACGACAACAATAAAAAGTAGGAGCGCGTGTGTGCGTGTGTGTAAAAAAAACATTAAGAAATGTGTAACAAAGACAAAGTTAACATAACAAGTAAGGTCGTGCCATAAGCAAAAAAAAAAAAAAATCAGCCGCAACTCAAACCAACAATAAAAGAATTCATAAAGCGAAACAAAATACATATTTTTGTGTGTGTGTGTGAATACTCATAAGTATGTATGTGGCCAGTAGCGCGTAACCGCACACGACGTTAACAGCTGTTTCAATAAAAAAATAATAATAGGCTGTATTACAAATTTTTAATAAAAATTACCTTAGATTGGTTTTCTTCAGATGTCTAAGCGGAAACAAAATTTAAAAATTATTTTCAATTAACTTGTATGAAATTGCTTTAAATATACCAAGTTATAAATTGTTATAGTCCACTGTAATGCCTTCGCCAAATTTGAAACAACAACAGCCGCCGCCACCTCCACCACCACCGCCGCTTCCGCCACTATTAACGCAACAACAACAACAACCGCAAATCACTTACTCCAATCATCATCAACTACAACTGCAACAACAAAAAAGCTATTATTATACGAAAAATAAGAAATTAACAACAAAATTAAAATCATCTTCACTGGATAATGAGATATTTTTATCAAATCGTAAAATTAATAATCAAAGTACGACCGATTGGTTGCTGCCACCACATGGTAGCGCAACAATACCACGTGCCGCATCCACTAATTCACTAGCGAGCAGTGTAACCGCTAACAATTATCAGGAGTATAAGGCGGAATTGATAAATCAGGTGTGTATTGGTTTACTAAAATTTCTATTTTTTTTTTTTTTTTTTTTTTTTTGCTGGTTGAACTGAAATATGTAAACGTTTAATTACCGTAAAATATTTGAATATTTGAAATCAAATATTTTACTCATATATTTCACCTATCTATGTATGTAAAAGTTTTTTTTTGAGTTCACCTAGCCCTTCATCAAACAAAAGATAACACACCCAAAAGGAGAGTAATAAAATTAATGTGATTTTTTTTATAACAGTGTTCGCGCCTATTTAGAAACTGGAACATAAATAATATTATAATTAAAAAAAAATTAAAAAAAATAAAGAAATATAAAGTGAAAAATTAAAAATAAAAAATAAAGTATAAGAAATTAAGATTAAAAAATTAAAAAATTAAAAATCGAACAAACCTTACAGCAGCGTTGTTGAGTGGAAAAAATTCCCTTGTCGATTTTTTTTTTAACAAAATTATTATAATTATAATTTGTCTCCTTTTTTTATTATGTTTGGTAAAACTGATAAAATTATAAACTTATACAAGTAACATATATACATATATTAATTTTTAAAGCTAGAATTCACAACACAAAAAGAATTTTTTTTCTTAAAATTGATTCGGTATCTACGTGTATTCAGCATATTTGCTATCGAAATTGGTCCCTGCTCCGTCGATTTTCAAGAATTTATCTCAAAAAGGAAGAAAAGGTGTTACACATAGACGACACTTAAGAATTTACTAGTTCCGTGGCTTATCCACCGCCACACTAAACACCAAGGAAACCCAGATAACACTACCGTGAAGCTACTAGCGGATATTGAGAGCTTTTCATTCCCGGCAGGGTTGACGAATCGACCCGTAAATTACCGAAATGATCGGTCATGACTATGAACTTTTGCTAATTGATCAAGAATTCAAAAGGGTGGTATCCAATTCCCACTATTTATTTATAACCATATATTACGAAGCTCCCTCAACTGGGGTATCTCTCCTCATATGCCCGCTCGATATTTACGACCGGTAAAGATATTGGTTTTTATTGACGGCCGCAATAGTCGAGTGGATAGCAGTGCGCACTGCCATTTATAAAGGGAAGAGTTCGAGTTTTTGTCCGGGCAACATCTAAAAAGTATAAAAACTTAATAGCAGTTGTTGCGGGTAATGTCAACCCCTTCAAATGTGTAAACTTGTGCGGTCACCCGATCTTACTTTCACTCTTTTCACATGACATCTGAATCTAGCTGCCCCGAAATCCGCAGCAACCTTATCATCCAGCTGGTCTAAAGAGTATCGGTTCGTACTGAATTTCAAATTCGATGTTTTTAAAATTCGGCAGGGGTCACCCTTGCAGACACTGTTCTTCAGAAGAAGGCACTTCAGAAAGAAAACATACTTCACTCAGCATCGCTGGACGATACATGCTACCAACTCGCCTTAAATAACAATCACGCAGAGTTAGTCAGCATCATCAACAACTTTTTTGCATTGGAATCCAACCAACAGCTACCGCGAGGAAAAGCTGAAGCTACAAACTAATATTTGGATACTGTAGTCGACTAACGAAACCAACCTTCCTGATTGGCGTAGACACCGCTTACACGATTATAGCCGACTCAGTAATAGAGCGCCAGTTGAAGACAGGCCTTCTTCACTTAACATTTCCAACGCAGCCAAGATCTCTCTGTTCCCCTCGTTTCACCGACGAATACCGCGACAAAAACTGTATCTCCCACAGCTCACGATGGAAACATCGACTGCTGTATTCACCGTTACTAATTGTTTGAATTTACTTTACGCTTAAGTAAAAATTAAAAATAACCCAAAATACTAGGAATTTTTCATTACACGCATTAATTAAATTGAAAAAAATTAATTGAAATTATTAACAACTATGCCTAACTGAGATTATACACAAATATATGTTATTTATAAATAATAACAGGTTTTCTTAGTCACTCTCAAAATCGCCGGCAAACATTCAATTAACATATTATTGATAAACAATTCTTTTCTTTTTAATATTAATATGCGAAATTATGATTATCTTCCAACAAAAAGCATTCCATCTGAATAAATTTTTATTAGAAAATATGAGAACGCACATAAATACGTAAACTTAAATGTTCAACGCGTTGATAAATACATAAACGTACATATATATATATATATGTCGATATGTATAGGGGCGCACATTGAACGGTACTCGTTTACACTTAACACAAATGTTATTTTCTGCCAGTTAAATGTGTCAATTAAATTGACAACTATATATTTATGTAAATATGTATGTACATAACAGCTAAGCAGCATCTAGACGTTAAAAAGTCATGCATAAATTATATGCAAAATCAAATCAAAAGTTCAAATGGGTGTTGAAATGTGGCGTTAACACAATTATAAACACATACATGCATATATATATATATATATATATATATATATATATATATATATGTATGCACACACATGTACATGTAAATAAAATGAACTAAACTAAATTGAGATCGATGAGGTTAATTTTTATCATTTCCATTAAATAAATGTTTTACTTTTTTTTCTTTTTTTTTCTTTTTTTTCTTTTTTTTTTTCTTTTTTTTCTTTTTTTCTCTTTTTTCTCAATTTTTATTTTTTCACACGGCTATGCCAATTTGTGTGCACGAGTACGCGTACTCATATGTACATAACGGTAACAGTTTGACAGTTGTGTTGGACAACTCAAGGTCAGGTTTGTTACTACCGCTTTGGTTAATTGGGAGATGCTGCTGCTGCTGTCACTGCTGCGACGGTTGCGGCTGCGGTGCGGCTGTGACTGCTACGACTTGTCAATTGCATTTTTTGTTTTTTGTTTTACGAACTTGCTTTTGTGGTTTAATTTGTGCATTTTGTCGGCATTTATTTTGTTGCTTTCGACTTGTTTGCGTGTGGCATGTGATTATTATTGTATTATATAAATTTTTGTACCCGTTATGTGTGCATTATGAATTAGAGCTGTAAGTGAATGACAGTTGGTGCAGTAGCAATGAAAATTAGCGAAGAATTGTCAAGTGATGTTGCCATTTGTTTATTTTTCTTTAATAATTTTATAGGGAAAATTTATTTTTTTTTCTTTCTGTGTACAAAAACAAAAATAATAATAACAGTAACGTGCATACTTATTACGCCGTTTTGTGTCTCAACATTTGTTGCTATCCATTTTTAAATTAATAGAATATTATTATTCTATAAAAAAATTTACTTTAATATACATTCAAAATTTGTTCAAATAATTTTTTTTTTTTAATTTTCCTCATCCCATCCATCAAAATACTAATAACACTCATAAATTAGGTTTTTGTTTGGTTAGAAATCTACATTTAAATAAGTAAACGACAATAAATACACTTATGTATGTATGTATTTACGTAGCTTAATAAATTTTAAATGTACCTGCATTCATACATTAAACTAAAGTAAATATACAATGCTTAATATATTCTTTTCCGATTTGTGCATGCGCCGCAATTTTTCTTGAACACACATGTATACATATTTATGTACATATGTACATTAGGTTGTGAGGATTTTTGTAATAGGAAAAGAGAAAAATAAAAAATGAGAAAACATCTAGTTTATATTGTGCGAAATAAAGCGTATTTTTATACGAACAAGAATTATTGCAAGTTACTGCAATTTTCTCATTTTATTATTTATTTAAATTTAAAATTTTTTTTTAAATTTTTTTTTTATAATTTTTTTTATAATTTTTTTTTTATAACTTTTTTTTTATAATTTTTTTTATAACTTTTTTTATAATTTTTTTTTTTATAACTTTTTTTTTTATAATTTTTTTTATAATTTTTTTTATAATTTTTTTTTATAAATTTTTTTTATAATTTTTTTTTATATTTTTTTTTATATTTTTTTTGTTGTTTTTAATTTTATTCAGGTATCATAATAAAAATGTGCTAAATGAAATGCAGTGACATGTTGTTTGATTTCGTTCAAAATGTGCTCTTCATTTATCGTATAAATATCTGCAGGAGTCACTCATACGCCACGTCTAACCTAAAAATTGATAAACATTTAATTTTAAAAGTGGTATATCACAAAAATTTTATATTTCGCGACAATTATAAAATAAATATGTAAATATACATTAGGCATTACTCTTTTTTTAATTACTATTGTGAATAGTGCTTAAGTTGTTTACAATGGCATATTTCTGACAGCTGTAAGTTAAAATTAAAGGAAAATAACGTATTCGACTGAAATATGAAATCAAATGTAAATTGTTAAAAATACATATGTACATGAAAATAAAATAGACTTAAAAGAGGCAAGGAGTCAAAATATGTTTATTTTCGCTGTTCAGCGCCAATTGATAACACCAGCTCTGCTTCACACATTTCCGAAAAAACCAATTGTTTCTCCAATGGCTATGTAAGAAGCTTGATGGGTACTCTCAGCAACTCGAAGTGCAAGTGAGGCAAATAAACGTTCGGCTATCTATATTAAATGTAGTTTTTCTATGTCCAAAAATTCTCCTGTTTGCTGAAACGGGTTTTGGTGATATGACTTGATTGATTTTGTTATGAGGTTTTCGATGCGTATACAGCCATGTAGTTTGATGAATTTTCTTGTACTGGAATGTGGTACAATTTAAAATTATATTATGAGCTCTGACAAAACCGAGCCCTTTCAGCCCGTTCATCATGGTCATATGTGCATACAATCGGCTCATAAACAGGCATGGGTGCAAATCATTTATCGTGGTGTGAGACCGGATTTTCATGGTGCTGCTTTTAAACCGTTCGAAGCTTATTGTATGTATGTATTTTTTCATTAGAGTTGTATCTGTTATTATTTGTGTTAATAAAAAACAAAATTTCTTTTATAAAAAAGGTGTATAAAATTTGTATTTATATCCAAAAAAAAAGGTATATAAAATAGTAAATATTCAAATCACCAATAAACCAAAAACTATAGGTAATAAATACAAATAATATATGTAAATATATGTATTTATTGTGTGCTATTTTTGGCACAGACTGTCATTTCGCTAACCAGCCAGAGGTCTGTAAAATTTCATTCACACTTTAAGTGCTCCACATGAAGGTCTTTAAATGAGAAATGAAAATTGCACAGAAGATTTCTGCTGCTGGAAATATGAATGTAAACATATAATAAAATAACGGAAACTACAGCTGTTGAAAGCGGAAAGCACGTGTCCGTTTCGCTCACAGTGCTGATCAGTGGTTTTTAAAAGTTAGTGAATATATGATAAAAATCTACATACTTACGCGTATATGAATGTATGAATACGCTTATGTCGTATGTAAAGTGTAACACACTCTGTAAACACTTAATTATCATACAATTGGCTTACCAATTATTAAATTTTTTAGTTGATTTCCTTTGTTAAATAATCTAAACAAACTAATATTCAGCGTAAAACACTTAAATTGCTCTTAAATTTTAAACAATTCTTTGCAAATTGGCGTCGGTGCGGTAGCTGAGGTGTTTTTTTTTTGCGCACAAAATAAATATTTACTTTAATATGTGCACTGGTTGGAAAAAATGTAGAAGAAATCTTCGTTCTTTCTATTTAAAAAAATTAAATCGCTGTAAGAAAACAGCTGGCGAGTATGAAACTGTATTATTTAACTTTTTATACTTTAAAAATAAAAATAAAAAAATATTTTAAATTCTTCACTCACAATAGAGCACCCTAATGTGAATGTATTCAGCGAATTTATCGATATTAAGTTTTCTTAATAAACATGAGCGATTTCAAGGAAGTAAAATTATATTTCGTTTGAATCGAAAAATTCCCGCAAATTTAAAATTTTATTTTATTTTTTTTTATTCATTTTTATTTATTTAATTTGGTGTTTTTTTTTTGATAGGGTTTTTATTTTAATTGCATTTTTATTTTTATTGGTTTTCTATTTTATTTCATTTATTTATATGTTTTTAATTTTTTTTTTATTTTATAAATTTTTTTAATTATTCTTATTTCTTTATATTTTATAATCAAATACTCGTAATATTAGAAATTTCTTATTTTATTTTATTTATTTTAAATCTGTGTTTTAGTTATTATTTTTCCTGATTTGTATTTGATTTTATTTCATTTCAATTAGTAATATATTTTATTTGAACAAATCATTTGTTTAATCTTTCATTTTATTTGATATATTTTTTTCTAATTTGTCTTTCTTTTTTGGTTATTATTTTATTTATTTCTATTTTTAATTTGCTTATTTTTGTATTTAAATATTTTTTTCTTATTTTTCATTTCTGTTTTTATTTTGTAAAAATTTTCCGTTTTTATTTATTTTATTTTTTCTTATTTATTTATTTTATTTATGGATATATTTTTATTTTAATTATTATTCATTTCTATTTTTAATTTCATTTACTATTGTTATATTTTTTATTTTTTTTTTATAATCTGTCATTTTAATATATTTATATTTATTTGTGTTCTGTTTTTGATTTTATTTTTAATTTTCATTTTACTATATTAGTCTTTTTGTTATTTTATTTCATTTACTTGTTTTTTTTATATATATTTTAACTCCTTATTTTTTTTTATTTATTTTATTATTTTTTTCAATATTTTTTAAATTGTAATTGTTAAGTTTTTTATATTTCTCTTATTTTTGTTTAGTTTTATTTTATTTGTACTTTATTTTTGTTTTATTTTATATTCTTATTTTTTTTAATATTAATTCTTTTTATTTTTTTTTTTATTTGCTCTATTTTTCATTTAATTTTTTTCATTATTATCTTACTTTTTTGTATACATTGGCACACATTTATATCTAATTCCTCACATTTTCTTCAATTATTACAGGGAAAATGTCTTTGTGGGCAATACATACGTGCACGCTTAAGACGCGCAGGCGTACTGAATCGCAAAGCTACACAACGTTTGCGCACCATGTTGGAACCTTCATCCGCGGTGGTTTATGAAGTTTTCCCAGCATTGAATAGCGTAAGTGTGAAATAATATTTTCAATTTATATTTTAATAATTTTTTACCTTTTTCCACTTGTCTTGAACAGATGGGCGAGGAATTGGAACGCATGCATCCTCGCGTCTACACAAATATCTCACGTCAGCTGTCGCGTGCACCTTACGGTGAATTGGTCGACGGTGATACGGCGCCTATGTTGCTCAATTTGGTAGCCAAAGATCTGTTTCGTTCGAATATCACATGGGGTAAAATTATTTCAATATTCGCCGTCTGCGGCGGTTTCGCCATCGATTGTGTGCGTCAGGGACATTATGAATATTTGCAATTTCTGGTTGATGGCATAGCGGAGATAATTGAAGATGATTTAGTACCCTGGCTCGTGGATCATGGCGGTTGGTTAGGTCTGCAACAGCATATACGTCCGCATGTAGGACACTTTTCTTTCCTGGGGCTGTTGACATTATTCGTGGCACTGTCGTCGGGTGTTTACGTTGTAACGAATGTGGCCAAACATATTGGTTGTCATTTGTATTCGTTACTATTTTGACAACAACGCACATAGGGAATACATAGAAGGAGTGGGCATAAGAGAATGCATTTAGTTGTAAAAAAAAATTAATATATATATATAAATGAATGCAAAAGCATTTAGAATGTGAAAAGGCTTAGAGCCTGCTGATATTGTTGCAATAATATTATGTAATTCTTTCCTTTTTTTAACTATTATTTCAATCTTTTGTAGAAAACTTAGTAAAATGGCTTGGAATTATTCACTATGGTTTATGTTATTACCATTTTTAGTTTGAAAACAATAAATAGACTAATAATTTATATATATATATTTATCTATACACATATATTTATTCGTATACATTTCATTCCTACATAACTACTAAGTAAATAAAAAAGATTATTTTTAATAATTATACAACCTGTAGCGAAATTTATACATTAATTTACTTAAATGTCATGACATTGTCATATACATAGTTGTCATTGATACTCAAGCGTCAGCGACAGTTTGTAGATATTGTCTACTAAAAGCCTTTAATAAAAATCGTAACTCCATGACATTATCACGGTCGTTATTGTCAGTAATTTTTCGCTACTGTGTGACAACTGAAACCTATATATATATATACCTTTCTACCTACATATTATATAACAACTTTGTGAGCAAACATCTTTTTTCGTTAACTCATTGTTATGACTTATTTTAATTATTTAGACATGCATACATATGTACACATATAACCACAAAAAAGTAAAATAAAATTAAATAAAAGTTTAAAATAAAATTTATTTTTTATTATTTAAAACAGTTACTTAATAATCGAATTGTTTTTACTTAAAAGAAATTAGAGATGAGAAGATTTTTAGAGTGAAATCATATGATTTTTCCATTCCGTCAAATTATTAAACGTAAACGAGGTAATTCGCTCAGGATTATTAATAAATATGTAAAACAAAAATAATTTTTCACAAAAACAATAGTCAACCTTATTATGAATTTCACGTGAAACGAATATATGTAAAGATTGCAATGCATAACAAAAACAAAATTGCAAAATATTCAACACTTCAAATGGTTTCTCCTTTATAACTTATTTCATGTTATTTAAAATTATATTTCAATTTATTTGTTATTCCTAAATGTGAAAAAAATTGGCGACCGGAACTTTGTCTGTGCCTATTCCGGCCATTTATGTGTTTCCATCCTTGTCTAGGGGAGTGCTAACTGGCTCTCCTTTCTAACTACACAAATTTTCGATTTTTACACACGTATTTGTCTGTTCCCCATGACGAAAAAGCAGTTGAGAATTATTAAAAATGTAAACAAATGTACAAATTCAATGGAAGAGCCTAAAAAGCAGTAGTGCATTGCTTAATTTTTTTTTTAACAGAGCGCCATCTACTGCTTTGCGTACCCATACCGCTGGAATAAAAAATGTCAAAAGTGCCGACAAGAAGAAGCAGATAATCTGTCAAGAATTTTAGATTTCTATCAATTTTCGTCATCAACGTATGATATTTTTGTTTAGACAAGTGTATAATTATTTTGAAACAGTTTAATTACAAATTAAATTGTGACAAAGTAACACCGAAACATAATAAAAATTGTAAGTTATCACTCAATAAGGAGAAAAGCTGGTGCAATACATTAAAAGTGCAGTGAAATAAGTGAAAAATTATGTATGAAATCAAAATGAACTCATACATATATACGCTAGAAAAAGTGATGACGGCGACAAATTTGATTGGTGCACCGCCGATGTGAGGTGCTCCATGCAGAACATGACCTTTTCTTATAAGTAGGGATAAACTAAACTCCATGAAATGTAAATAGATATTATTTAAGTAAAGCACTCTTGATCCAACGCCTGGTTGCTAATTTCTCCGGCCACGTACCTGCTTATATATGTATCTAACTGACAGCTTAAACAAAAAATCAAAATAATAATATTTAACAGCTGACCCACTTCCATTAACTAGCTACATTAATCAAAATCTTTATGAAAAATTATAGATTTCGCGTTGGTGTCAGTTTGCTTATATAATTATTTAATTTGGCTAACGAAATAAGCAAGCGACGAAATGAAAGTAAAAGAACTGCAGAAGACGGTGAATATTGCTTGGTCGCCGCTACCACAAAACCCCATTTACCTGGCAGCCGGTAGCGCCGCACAGCAAATCGACTCGAATGTGAATCCAACATTGGAAATATACTCAACGAATTTTATCGACCCAAGTTATGATTTGGAATTGAAAGCGAGTCTACCCAGCCAGTATAGGTAAAAAATGATGTCATAATAAAATTTGACGTTATTTCACAAATAAATATATAATTATTTGCAGATTCCAAAAGGTTATTTGGAGCCCTACCGGTTACGATGGTGCACACCCGAATGGCTTGATTGTAGGTGGTTGTGAAGGTGGTCATGTTATGATTTACTCCGCTGCTAAAATGCTCGCAAACGAAGAGGGCCTTATTGCGCGACAAGATAAGCACACCGGACCGGTTAGTGGACTGGACGTTAATCCCTTTCAAACGAATCTGTTAGCATCATGTGCTTCTGAATCGGAAATATTTATTTGGGATTTAAATAACACTACGACACACATGAATCCAGGGACTAAAACGCAACCACTAGAAGATGTACAAAATGTCGCTTGGAATCGACAAGTGCAACATATATTGGCGTCAGTGTTTAGCTCACGATGTGTTATCTGGGATTTACGTAAAAGCGAACAAATCATTAAACTCTCCGATACACAATCGCGTGTACGTTGGCATGCCATACAATGGCATCCGGATGTGGCTACACAAGTATGGCTCGCTTCAGAGGATGATCAAGCACCTGTGGTGCAATTGTGGGACTTACGTTACGCCACTGCGCCAGCCAAAACAATGCAGATACATCAACGTGGTGTGCTCGGCATGTCATGGTGTCCACGTGATGTCGATTTAATGGTGTCATGCGGCAAAGATAATCATATTTATTGTTGGAATCCAAATACTGACTTGCCAGAGGGGGAAATACTTTCGGAGGTGGCAGCCACCGCCACTTGGTATTCAGATGTGCAATGGTGTCCACGTAATCCAGCGCTTGTCGCAAGTGCTAGCCTTGATGGTAATGTTTCGATCTATTCACTATTTGGTGGTACACAACAACAGGTGCAAACTTCTAATAAGATAGCTGACTCTTTCCCGGGTATGGATCAAATTGCACAGGCACCCATACCACAACAATCAACACAGATAGTATACCATGATTTGAAACGTGCACCAAAATGGATTAAAAGGCCTTGTGGCGTGGCATTTGGCGTGAGATTTGCTAAATAAATATATGTTATAATTATTAATCAATTTTCTTTTATAGTTTGGTGGCAAATTAGTGCATTTCAATGGTCAATCGAAGCAAGTACAAGTGTCACAAGTGGTCACCGAACCAGAGTTGGTAGAGCGTGCCAACGCTCTAGAACGTTCCCTCACCGAGGCGAATTTCGTTGATTATTGTCGTGAACGTGCCGATAAAATGCCGGATCAAAATGGACGTTATTTATGGTATTTCATAAAAGCAAATTTCGAATTAAATCCAAAAGAGGAAATGTTGAATTTACTTGGTAAGTGAAGGCGTAAATACGTAATTTACTCTAAAAAATAATAATAATAAACTATATTTCTTGTTTTAGGCTTCAACAAAGATGACATAGATAGTAAATTTGCAAAATTTGTAAAAGAAGATGAGACGCAGCAAAATGAGGTGGATCAAGTGACTAATCGCTTGGCTAATCTCACGCATGTAAGTTGAAAATCGCTTAGAAATTTATACAAATAAAATTACCAAAACCGTGAACTGAAGTTAGTTTGTTTAAGTGAGTGTTCTTATATATCTTTATCAGTTGATTTTTCTCATTTCTTTTTTACGAAATGTTGAACTACACTTTTCGTCGGTTCGATGCTGGTTTTTTTTTTATTTTTTTTTTACATATTTCTGATAAGCCATCTTCAACAACTAACAAACTGCCAACAGCCACATTTTCAAAGTTTCTTATCTTGTTTTCAGTTGTCGCTTCTGTAGCACAGCTATTCTTCTGTTGTGACGCGGTCACTAAGTATGGCTTTCGTTGACGAAAGTAACCTAGTTGGCATATGATAGCACTAAATATAAGTATATACATAGACATACATATGTATGTACATTTTTCTTCATTATATATATATTTTTTTTTTTAAATTTACTTAATATATAAGTATATATATATGTTTTTTTTTTAATTGAGCAAACGCATATCTCGCATATTTAATATCATAATTTTTATCTTCAATTGCCTCATTCAAACTTGATAACATTCATTTGCAAATGCTTTTTGCTCACTTAGAGCGATTCATCGGAAGTTGAGTGTGATCAAAGTACTGATGGTAGTACTGACACATCGGTAAGCGGACATAAGCATATTACTTTTGTTAGAGAATGTATGTTGTGCTGTGTTTGTGTAATAAATAAAATTTTTGGACTAAATAAAAAGGAATTAAATATACCTGATTTGACTGTACATGTACATATGTAAATTCGCTGTTTTAATTATTATTATATTTTTTTTTATTAATTCAAAAATTATTATTGTTGTCTTTTTTGTCCCAACCAAATCGTTCCCCCACAACCCTACATATATTTCGAAACCCCCATTTTAGCTCTATTTGGTCTCATGTAGAACTGATTATTCCACTTTATTGCTGTTCTTTGGTGTCGTAGTTATGTTTAGAGTTGATTAATATTTTTAAATGTCTATATTTTTTTTATAATTATTTCATATTTTTATTTTCTTATTATTTAGTTTTTACATACAATTATTTTTTTAAAACTTTTTTATAATTTTCTTTTTATCAATTTTTTTTATATTCCTTTATAATTATTTTTTTTTTTTATTTTTCTTTAATTATTATTTTTTATGCTTTTACTATTATTATTTTTTATTCTTTTATAATTATTATTATTATTTTTTTTATTTTTTATAATTAACTGTTTTTAATCTTTTATAACAATTGTTTTTTTATAATAGTTTTTTTATAATTCATTTTTTTTTATAATTAATTTTATTTTTATTTTTTTATTATTAAATTACTTTATAATTACTTTTTTAATTATTTATAATAATTTTTTATTATAATTATTTTGTTTATTATTATATTTTTTACTATAATTTTTTATGTTTTTATAATTATTCTTTTTATTCCTTTTTTTAATTGTTTTTTTTATATATTTTTTATTGTGTATTTCATAATTTTTTTTATAATTTTTATATTTTTTTTTGTATTTATATGTATTTTTTTTATTTATTTATATTTTTTATTTATTTATATTTTGTATTTTTACATATTTTTACATTTTTATATATTCTTTTTTTAATATTTTTATATTTTTTTGTATCTTTTGCAATATTTTTAATATTTTTTTAATTTTTTTTTTTTTTTGATTATCACTTTTCTTATTTACCACTATTTTTTTTATTTATTATTATAATTTTTTCTTTATTGTTATTATTTTTATTTATTATTATATATATATATTTTTTTTTATTTTATAACTTTTGTAATATATTTTTTAATAATTTTGCTCAAATTTCCAGCATCCCGTCGATAATAACGCCATCTTTGACGGTATTGCCGCCACTCACAAGCAGCAGCAATTGGATAGTGAAAATGCAGCAAAACCAGCAAAACAATTTGCCATACCGAAAGGCGAACGTGAGTGAAAACACTGAGAGTACACTACTTATACATGACATAAATAAATTTAACCAATTATTTCCACCCACAGATCCGGATAGTCTCATCACCGAGGCCATACTCACTGGTAACCTGGAGGCCGCTGTTGAACTTTGCTTGGACTCTCAACGCCCATCAGAAGCGTTGATTATTGCCTCAACCGCGGGTATTGATTTTCTCACCAAAATTCACAACCGCTACTTGCAACAACAACAAAATGAGCTATCTAATGTTATAAGCGCATTGGTGACACGTGACTGGTTGGATTTCGTCAATCGTTGCACTGTTGAGTCATGGAAGGAGGCTTTGGTGGCCGCACTCAAGCATAGCGATCGTAAAGTTGTGGATATTTGTGAACGCCTAGGTGATCGCCTACTGGAGGAACGTGCACAAAGCGTCGATTTCACACGAAATGCTATGCTGTGTTACGTGTGCGCGGGCAGTATTGATAAATTGGTAGCTGCATGGCATCAATTGAAGGCGCTAGAGCATCAAAATAATAACTATAAACCGAATACCAACGAATTGCAGGAGTTAGCTGAGATCGTTATGTTAATGAGCAAATCATTGGAGCAGCAAGGCATTGCCTTGGATTTGAACGGTCGATTTGCTGATTTCATCACACAATATGGCGGTCTCTTAGTGGCACAGGGTGCGCTTACAGCTGCATTGGCGTATATTTTTGCTTTGAGCACCGGCAATAACGAAGAAAATCTCGAGTTGACGGAATTGCGTGAACGCATATATAATACGGTGAATTATAGACCACCGGTTGCAGCGGCAGGTGGACGTGGAGCATATCAGCAACGGCAGCAACAACAAAACATTTATGGTCGACAACAACAGCAACAACAACTGCCTCCACAACAACAACAGCAGGCTGCTGTCGCACGCGGCTCATTTTCACATGGCTTGCCACAAACTCAAGGTGTTTACGGTGGCGCTCCAGCAACAAATCAATACGGCACTAATCCACCCAACAACTGGAATTCATCAGCTGTATCAACACCTAGTGGCGTGTCCGCATTATCGCAGCCACCAGTGCCACCAACACTATTTAATCCACTCGCCGCCGCCGCAGGGTCACAACAGCCAGCCACATCCGCTGCAGCCAAACCACCACTGCCAGGCGCAGCCATACCTGGACATATTACAAATGATGCATTGCACGCACAGCCACCACGTCCGGCCAGCAATGCCAGCTCACAGGGTGGTAGTGGTGCTAATTTACATTCACGTTCCAAATACGTGCTAGATCCATCTGTGGCTTCCGCCGGTTCCATGGGTGGTTACGGTGTTGGCGGTGGTTATCAACCGCAAATGGCAGCGCCAGCACCTGCAGTTGTGCCCTCATTCAATACAAGTCCATTTAATGCGCCACTTGTGGCCGCGCCAAGTGTGTTGCAACCCTCACCAGCGCCGTTCAATGTGGGAGCTGGCGGTTTATATGGTCTAAGTGGCAGCAATAATTACACTGATATCAATAATACACAACAGTCGTTGGCGCCAGCACCACCGCCACCAACGCAGAGCTTACAGCGCACACGTACACCGCCACCAGGCTGGAATGATCCACCAGCATTGAAGTCGACGCGTGCGGTAAGTTGGCTTCAATGTTCAAAATAATACGTACATATATCACCATTAGTATGAAACTAATGAGAAGCAGTAAAAATGGCTGTGAAAATAACTTTTTGATTTGCTAATAATTTTCTTTCGCTTATGTACTTACGTAGATACTCCATAATCATGGTAATGAAATGTCTGCGAGACATGCCGGCACACGCCGTTGGCAAAAAATTATTAATCACGAAAAAGTTGAAACAACAGGGCTTCTAAAACCGCCAATACAATTTAATTTTGAACAATTTTATGCTAATGAAGCGCACGCCAGTGCGTTGCTCTCACAAGATATTTGGCAGGTAGTGAGCAATGTGTGCTTCCCTTGACTTGAACGTTTGGTATTGTTGTTGAATTGTTATAAAACCACGAACAAAGCGTTCATTACCCGTTTAATGCATTCATATGCATTACTACATATATATTTAGATCCCTGAAATGTCTTAGCTTGAGATCTTCCTTATGTTCGCTTTGGTTGATATAAATGCTTGGTTTTCATATTCAGAGTATGCGATATAAAGAAATGGAAACTACTAATTAGACAGAAGAATGTTATTATTTTTTTTTAAATTACTAACCAAAATTCATAACTTTGTTTGCAATTAATTATTTATTCAATTTAATTTTTTGTTAAAACTCGAGCTCTTTACGCTTACAACTTATATTAAACCTTCATTCCAACCCATCACCCCAGCAGCCTAAAAAGCCGGAACCTGCACCCACAGCTGCACCCATTACTCATCCCTTGTTCGGCGTTGATCCAAATCAAAATCAAAATGGTTTTACAGATCCCTATGGTAACGCTCCATATCAGGTAAATTTCGTTGAAAAGTCACTAAAAACTAAAACTAAAAATTGCATATTTATGCGTTTTTCTTTCCTTCTAGAATTCCGGCATGCCGCCACCACCACCAACTGCAAATAATAGCAACATGGTGGCGAATCCCTTACAACCTACCAGTCCCGCTGGTTATTACAATTCAACATTGCCACAAAATAATAATTTACCCACACAACAATTTCCGCAACAAATGAATTTCCAAACTTCAGCCATACCACAACAACAGCAACAACAATGGAATACGCAACCACAAAATGTGGGTTACACCGAACAGCCGGCGCCAGTGCAACGACAACCGGAAGTGCCAAAAGAGAAGCCGCCACTACCGGAGGAGTACATATATCTGCAAACAGTGTTGGAGGAATTGAAGAATCAGTGTTTGGCGGCGTCAGCAGATCCGGTAAGTGTAAACAGGCGTCAAGTATGAGTAGAAATCTCTAGGACTTTAAGCTTTTTTTTAGATTAGGTTTCTTATTCTATTAAATGTAAATCTTGTAACTTTTCTGCAACTAATTTTCTTCAATTACAATAACAGCGCATGAAACGGAAATTCGTGGACGTAGCCAAGCGCTTGGAGAATCTTTATGACTGTTTACGTGATGGCCGTGTAAGTGTAATTTCTGTATTCTCTAAATTTTCAAATAATAATTTTTATTCTTGCAGCTCCATTCAACCACCATTACAGCGCTCAATCAAATCGTGCAGTACATACAAGTGGGTGACTACGCTAATGCATTGCAGACGCATACGCAAATTGCATTCGGCTCCGATTTTTCACAGTGTGCTGGCTTTATGCCGGGTCTAAAAGTTCTCGTACAATCGGCCGCCGATTTACAAATTTATTTACGTTAAGTTATGCAAACGGAGAAGAGAAAAAGAAATATGAAAGAAGAGTGCTACAAATTAACGAAGCAGCATTAAAATTTCAGATTATTCCACACTTGTCATATCAATTGTGTTCCAAGAATCGTATACATTTATGTATTCCTTTCGTTAAGTGCTTATTTGTCTTATTATATACTTGTACGCATTCATTTTCTAACTTCTAAATATTTACGATTAATTCTATGTTTGTTTCGTGTTGCTTTCTTTTTGTGTGTTTTCAAAGTGTAGCTTATACGAAATGTTTATTCACTTTATGTATCGTTATCTTAACAATTAATCTTCAATATACATAAATAATACAGCCTGATTGAATTATGAGTAATATTACACTATAAAATATTGCTATAAACATGTACTGAGAACAGATTTAATATTGTACAATATTAATAATTATGAAATTGTATACAAATTATTACGATAAATAGCGATTAATAAAAGAATATGTGCAACAGTATGCAAACAAAAAATGTGTGTTACAAATAAAAGGAGAAAATAAAAACTGATCCTGAAAATATGCAAAAAAAAAACTTGGGAAGAAAAAAACAATGACTTCGAAGCCCTCCAGAGAACTTAAAATAACGAGAAGCAGAGAACCAGAAAACTTACATTATTTGAATTTGATTATTTAAAGTTCTCTGGTTCTCTGGCCCTCCTCTTGTTATTGTTGTAACATTTAAATTGAATTCGAAGAATGTTGAGGAAGTGATAAATCGTTTCGCTTCAAATATCCAAACGTCGTGGTAGCTAGTCAACTTTAGTCACCTCTTGCTTAGTTAAATTCCATAATCCCTAAAATACAGGGGCAAGCTGGATCTTCCCTGCCTTTAAGCAACATTAGATATATGTACAAAGATCCCCCGTAAGTAGCATTTGACAAACTTTTTACGTCACAAACACTTCAACTTTTGCAACCCTGTCTAGTTATCAGTCTGGCAACTACAAACTGATGTTAATGCTAACAGCTGTTTTAACACATTATTTCCACGTGAAGTTAGACGTATTTTTCATTTATTTAGGAAATAATTTGAAAGTTCGCAAATTTATTTTGAATTTGTGTTACGGTAATAATAATAAACAAATAAAAGAACATTAATTTCTAAAGTGCAAAATTATATTAAGAATGGCAGGTGAGAAGAAACGAAATCACCACAAGTTATCCAACAACAATTTAGGGGCGTGTAAAAGAAACTTGCAATTCATGCAAAATAAAAAAAAAATTCAAATTCAACCATCTATCAATACTTAACTCAAATATATTTTTTTCGCACTACAGCGTTTAGGCACATTAAAGTGGAAAATGTTATAGATGAGGAATCATACACTGGCGTAATAACAGCGGACAGCTTTATGGAGAATAATGAGTATTATCAATATGAAGGCGATACGACGGAGACAGTTTATGAAAGTGAATCGTTAATTGAATATGTTGAAGAAGATGATTTACAGAGTAATGATTACATTGTAAATGATACTGTGGAGGACACTATAAAAACACACACCTTAACCGTGAAACGTCTAGTTATCGATGAACAATTACAAGAAGTTTATTGTTGCATAGAGTGTGCCTTAGATTTTCCAACACTCGAAGATTTTACTAAGGCACATAAAGTAATGCAGAAAAAAAGAGTTAACCAAAACCTTGTAGCAGAAACAAATGTGTACTTAAATGCTGGGGATATCGAGAGCGCACCAATTATATCAGATTTTGAAAAAGTGGATGGCGTTATTATAAAAGAGGAAGTTAGGAACAACCAAAACGTAGTAGAGGTTTTTGAGGCTGATACAGGTGAACATACAGAGTTAGCTGCAAATATAACTGATTATGCAGATTTTGATAATAAGCAATTTGTGGAAACTACTTCAGAGACTGATGAGGTACATGTGAAAGAGGTAAAGTATATATTTAGCATTCAGTGTGTGTTTTTTTTTTATTCTTTCTAATTTTTCTACGAATAGGAAATAACGTATACCGCAGATGAAGAGGATGAAGGCGAAAAATATTTTTGCTGTGATTGCCAATTAGTTTTTTGTGACATACAGACTGCTGAACAGCATGATTGCAGTGCAGTTAACAATGCAACAGCGCTGAAAACACATGACATTTCAGCGCAGGATACTGCAGCCGAAAATAAAGACTATGAAAATAATTTACGTTTATTTGTGGCACAGCAGAACGATGCGTTGGGCTCAAATAAGATTAGTCGTAAACAAGAAAAGAAATACCAATGCGCGGAATGTGATAAAAAATTTAGCACCTCCACAAGCTTACAAACACATAGTCGCAGCCATAACGCCAAACCAGGAAAGGTGAAAAGGAGAACGCCAGATACAGCGACAGAAATAAAGAACACTACTTGTCCCGTTTGCAAGACAACCTTTAGTTCGTACAAGAATCTGAAGTAAGCTTACTTTTACATCATGAATGAAATATATCTTATTTTCTCCTATACCCTAGGTTACACTTAAAAATTCATGACGCTCAGCAGTTACGTACTCTTGAACAGGCTTTGCCTGCTGGCGCCAAAACACAATATAATGATATGAATAAATTTTTCTGCGAAATATGCAATAAGAGGTTAGAATTTCTTAAGATAAAATATTTATTAATATTAATATTTTTCTAAAATGTTTTTTTCTTTCAGCTTTGAACAAAACTTACTCGGCATACACAAGAATATGCACCAGCAATCTACAGAGTATAATTGTGGCATCTGTAATAAGCATTTTGAGAATAAAACCAACTACGACATGCATATGCAAATGCACGCAGACAAGCCGCCGAAGCCGCGCAAGCAACAAACTAAAAATACATTCGAAGGTAAAGGCTTTCCATGTCAATATTGTGGACGCACCTTTCAGCGACCATTCGAAAAAGTGCGCCATGAGCGTATACATACTGGTGAGAAACCACATGCTTGTGAGGTATGTGGCAAAACCTTTCGTGTATCCTATTCGTTAACTCTCCATCTGCGTACACATACCGACATACGACCATATGCATGTGCCACTTGCAATAAACGGTGAGTCGTTATCAATTTAACTATTTACAAATGTTAATTATTAATATTATTATTATTTTATTTCACCTAGTTTTAAGTCCCAGCCTGTTTATGCTCATCATCTGCGCACCCACGAAGCGGAACGGTCGTATAAATGTGAAGTTTGTTCTAAAACTTTTCGTACATCGGTGCAACTGTCGGCGCATAGAAATATTCATTCAAAGCCATACAATTGTCCCGTTTGCAATCGACCCTTCGCCTCATTGTATTCGGTTAAAATTCATATGAAAACACACAATAAGCTGAATCGTGCCAATGATGTTACAAAATACAGTTGCTATGTGTGTGGCGCTGAATATGCGAGAGTTTCTGCATTACGCATGCATATGAGAGATTTGCATCTAATTGATTTTGATACAAATCAGTCGATACAATTAGATGACGATGTCATAACCCCTGATGATCAAAGCTCGCACTCCCAACACAACATGGGAGATAGTGAAGAGGATCAAGAGGTAGATCATGAAGCTGCTGTACTAATAGCGGCGGCTGCAGAAGCCGATTGTGGAACATACATTGAAGATGCAACAGGCCAAATCTCTGAGGCTGCGTCACCTGGCACGAGTAGAATGGACTTACAGGTTAGCCAATCGTATGAGGTGACAATGGAAAATGATGAGGTGAAATACTGAGTTTTTAATACACAAATAGTATTTAAAATAATTTAATAATTTTTATTTATTAATTTTCAGCTTATTGTGGACAACTATCAGACTGAGGAGATTGTGAGTGATTGGCTAACAAAGTAATATAGATATATATAAATTTTCTATTAATTATAATTAGAAATAATAATAATAATAAAATATTAATAATAATAAATACGTTACAATCTAAGAAACGAAATCCCCCAAGAACAATTAAATTCGTAAATCACTTTTGTATGTATCAAAGAATTTTAATTTTTTTTTTTCAAATAAGTTTTGGTTGTCGCCGTATGTTTTCCAGATCTAACATCGGCGAATGTGGTGCTGAGACACAAGGGGAAGCTTGTCGCTGTTGTGGTTGTTGATATGGTGATCTTTCTTGTTGCTGTTGGTGCTGACATGTAGCCTGCGTCAATGGTGATCGTATTGGTGTTAACTGTTCTTTAACATCATTTTGCCCTTCTGGTAATAGTCTATATTTTTGTAAATATTTGTAAGAAGCATTTGATATATCGCTTGGTCGTTTTTCCATATTTTCAATTGGTCGCAAAGGTGTTGTTTGCATCTGTGCTGCAGGTGATATATTGAGTTCTTGTAGTAAATCATTTAATTTTTCATTTGGCAAATACTTTAAGGCCAATTCATTCATTAGCATACTTTGCTCTGTACATGGCTTATTTGGCGCAATATTGGTGGCCAGTGGTTTCATCGGTCGGTATGGTTGGTATGCAGTGGATTGCGCTGCGGGTTGACGGGGTGACTCCAAAGTATATGCAGGCAGGTCCTTTATCGAATGATAACGCGGTGCAGGTTCGACATCCTTCATCTCGTATTGTGGCCGGATTTGGTTGTTTTTAGGAATATTGCTATCGGTATCCTCGTATTGTGTGCCAGCATTCTGCAGTATCACGGGGGGTTTTGGTGACTGTAACTTCTGGTGATCGTAAAGTGATTCTACAATATTCATTAGTCGCTGTTGTTCCATGCGCATTTCACCAAACATTGATAGTAGCTGTTGAAAATCGTCCTTTGTCGCCAAGCGTGTCAATATACCGTTGCATGTGTTATCTGCAAGTAAAGTTGCATCTGTTTGTGTACCTGCGCATATGGTAAGCACATCAGGTTTTGACACGTTTATTTGTGCGGTTGCTGTACAAGCATCAAGCGATCGACGCTTAAAGTTCTCTTGTCTGGATAACTCTCCACTACAAATTATGGGCTGCTCTAAACTACGACGATATTGCAACATTTGTGTATTTTCATTAAGACTATTAGAGACCGTTGTGGTGCTAATAGCAGTGGTGGGTACCGGTGCTCCATTAAAGGTTACTGGGCGAAGTGGGTATAAATTTGAAGTGATCTGTGTATTACTGCCAATTTGGGTTGGTTGCGTTGCTGCATTGGCTGAGCTTACCACATGACCATTAATGCTATATACTTCAGAACCAGCTGGTGGAAACGATACCTTTGGAAGTACTTGCTTCTTCCAAGCTGCGTAAGTTTGTTGTGTCGGTTCCGATGTTGCTGCAGTGGTGGTAGCTATTGTATTCGTGCTTATGGGCTGTTGAGCGCCAAACAAAATAGACACTTCAGGCACTGTTGGGCGCACTATAGCGGCAGTATTTATATTCAATGGTACACTAGGCTTAGGCGCGCAACGCGGGAGCATGTCTTCAGTTTCTGGTGCAAACATTTTTATTTTCTACAAATAACAAAATATAACTTAATAAAATGAAAACAACAAACTGTAGTCAGTAGGTTAGCGAAAACAATTCGAATTGGACTAATTAACACAGGGTTGCCAAGATTTAAACAAATCAAATACCAGTCGACTAATTTGTAGATTTTTAATATTATTTCAATCCATAATTTCGCATACGTATTCCATAAGGAGAAAACCATATTTTCTAGAGTTAAAATTTTTTTTTTTGAATTTGTATTTTGAATTTTTTCTGGTTTGTAAACAGTTCATATCGGGTTCATGCAACCTTTTGTTCCATTTCCACCCATTATGCGTTTATCATTTTTCAAACAATGTTGCATAATTTTTCGTTGGTTATTTTTGTTTAAATACATGTTTATGTCCATAAATGCTTAATTCGACATTTACTTAACATACTTAACTATTTTAAGATTATTAAAGGTTACCTGAAGAATATTTTCAGAAATTCGTTTTCTCTGAAGTAATATCCTTAAAGACATAAGCAAATACAATTGTCCCCTAAAATGGGGAAAAAGAATTGTCAAAGCATCACAACACTGACAACGAATTCATTTTCATTCTTGTCGTTTGTTTCATTCGTGTTGTTGGTAGAGTGCGGATTGTCAAAGTTTCAATTTTAGTGTAGAATCGCAATATATTTTTACAATAAAAGTGTTCGATTTAACAAATATTTTGACTTAAATATTACAAATAAATTTAAAAAAAATCGTAATATAAAGAAACCCTTTACATAAGAACAACCCCGAACGAACAAGTGCTGTGCAAAAAAAGGTTAAGTGTCAAGAAAAGTGTAGAAGGGATAGCGTATGAAAAAATCACGTACCATCAATTCGAGAAACCTTGGAGTGTTAAGTATCCAATTGAAGCATCTTACCTGAAGGACTGAAAACCTGTTAAATACCTGTAGTTTACAACAACTGGCAAAATAAACGCATTTGACCATACGCTATACGCACATATATACAATTAAAAAAGAACAAGTTGAACGCAAAGTAAAAACTTCAATATAAAAAAAGATTATAATAAAAAGGACATTTCTTGACAAATTTTCGACTATTTTAAATATAAATCTAAACAGTGTAAACATTTCTGACCAATTATAGTGAAAACAGTTTGCAAATAAAAACAAATAGAAGTGCTAACACTTGCTGAATAAAAAAAATCAGAACTTCCTTCATAAAGAAGGTGCAGCATCACTGCCTTGAAAATGCAGATCTCATGCAAATGTTTAAACTTTATAGCCACCAGTAATAGTCAGGCTGCTAATAGCAATAATGTTGGTATTATTAGTATTGGCAGCAATACGTCTGCCGCAACAACTCGCAATCCGGCTGCTGCTGATGAGGATAGCAGCATGCCATTAGCTCAACAATGTAATGACGGCAGTGGTAATAATAATAATGCTAACAATTTGTGCACCACATTAATGCATGCGTTCCTGCAACGTTTTCCACGTACTTTCATCTTCTATTCACAGTGTATGGAGTTCTTCAAACAGGTGCGTGTTTACATACATATATATATTGTTTTTAGAGACTTATTAATGTTGTAAAATTTTTAAAGTACCTACATATTCATGTATTAAAAAGTCATTTCATATTAGACCTCATTTCATTCATAGACCTCTAATAATGATGATAACTTTGATTTCATTTTACTAGAATTTTCTTGTGTCAAAAAAAAAAACGTAGCTTCTGCTTAACAGAATTTATAGCAATTCATAATTAATTAATTTAAATAACTCAAATAAAGAGTTAGTAAATTCATGAGAATGTTTTTTTTATTTTATTTTTATTTTTATTTTTTTAATTTATTATTTTATTTTTTTTTAGCTTTTTTTATCTATTTACTTGCTCTATTTTTCATTTTAAGTGTAATCTTTTCTCTTTATTACGTATAAATCATCAAAACGAAAACTAAAATTAAAAAACAAAATGCTGAAACCAATTTTTTTTAGATAAAACCAGGTGCAAATGTATTTAACATTTTTTGCAAGCAATGATCAACAAAGGAAATAAATATATTATTGCTTTAATTCTATTTGGGCTTACTTTAATACACATATATATATACATATTCTTAATTTATTCTATTGCACTCGAAAATTTTTTATTTTCCTTGTTTCATTTTTATTATTTGCTGAAGAGGTAAACATTTCGCAAAATATTATTAATGTCATAACACCTCCGTATTAAATACGAATAACCAATACCAGCAAAACCACGCATTTCTCAACCAGGAATATGTACATGTGTACCAAGTCTGCGATAACCTACGTACCAACTACCTCCCCCAATCTGAAAAAAACACATTATATTATATATGCGCATAGGTATGTTAAATGTATTCTAATCAACGTCAGCAACAACAAAAACAGACAAAAAATAGAGATTATTATAAATTGCTTTGTTTCTTTACATACCTACATGCATACATACATATACATATATTTATGTTTAGAAATGTATGTATTTTTTGTTACCTATATAAATATATTTCAAGCTTTTCTGTGCTCACATAAGAGCATGTACTTCTTGTGTATATAAAAAAATTGCTTTTCTATGGCTGGCACGCTCTGAAAGGTGATCGAACGCCATTGTATATGTAGATATCAACATACATATGTAAATTTTAGTCATATTTTTACGCAAATCTCAAAAAAAAATTCCTTCTGTTTCAAAATATCACTAATATATTTAAAACAAACTCACATGATCGCGTCTTAACATGCTTTTAACGATAAATATACACACATATTTATATGCTTATCATTTAATTACTTTTTGTATGAATATATTGGGTTGCCCCAAAAGTAACCGGCCATTTGTCATACAGACGGCGTTGACAAATTTTTCGCACACCTTTTGACTATTTAATTGTATTTTTTCTTTTGACACTTATAGGCTGTCACTCAAAGCTTGCTTTAGAAAAAAGTATGCGCAATTTTGTTTACATATGTTTGCTTGGTGTCAATTTTAATATGAAGGCCACAATGGAACATTTTCGCCAAGTTTTACTTTATTATTTCCTTAAAGGAAAAAATGCAACGCAGGTTGCTATTGGGTTGCCCAAAAAGTAATTGAGGATTTTTCATATAGTCGGCAAATTTTTTCAACGGCTTGTGACTCTGTAATTGCATTCTTTCTTCTGTCAGTTATCAGCTGTTACTTTTAGCTTGCTTTAGAAAAAAAGTGCGCGAAATTTTGTTTACATTTGTTTGTTTGGCGTCAATTTTAATATGGAGCCCACAAAGGAGCATTTTCGTCATATTTTACTTTATTATTTCCGTAAAGGAAAAAACGCGGAGCAGGTTGCTAAAAAGTTACGAGATGTGTATGGTGATGAAGCCTTAAAAGGAAGACAGTGTCAAAATTGGTTTCGCAAATTCCGTTCTGGAGATTTTTCACTTAAAGATGAGCCACGTTCAGGTCGGCCAAATGAAGTTGATGATGACCAAATCAAAGCATTAATCGAATTGGATCGTCATGTAACTGAGCGTGAGATAGGAGAGAAGTTAAATATACCAAAATCAACCGTTCATTATCACATAAAAAGTCTTGGACTGGTGAAAAAGCTTGATATTTGGGTACCACATGTATTGAAAGAAATTCATTTAACACACCGAATCAACGCTTGTGATATGCACCTTAAACGCAATGAATTCGATCCGTTTTTAAAACGAATCATAACTGAATAATAAAAAGTTGCGTAATTTGTATGGTGATAAGGCCTTAAAAGAAACACAGTGCCGTATTTGGCTTGACAAATTTCCTTCGGGAGATTTTTCACTCAAAAATAAGCCACGTTCAGGTCGGCCAAGTGAAGTTGATGATGACGATATCAAGGCTCGGTTTGTCTTGTAACTTAGGAGACTGTAGAGATGTTAAGTATAACAAAATCAACCGTTCATAATCATATATCATATAGATCTTGGATTGATAAAAAAAAACTTGATATACCACATGAATTGAAAGAAATTCGTTTAACAAGCCGCTTCAACGCTTGTTATATGCATTTTAAACGCGGTGAATGTGATTCGTTTTTGAAGCGAATCATTGCGGGAGAGTTTTAATAACGTCTATCCATAACCATCATGGTCCAAGTATGATGAAGCGCCACAAACCACTTCAAAGGCTGATATTCACCAAAAGAAGATTGTGATGTCAGGCTGTTAGGATTGGAAGAATGTGGTGTATTTTGTGCTTGCTTCCAAGGAACCAACAGATTAATTCGAATATCTACTATGAGCAACTGGACAAATTGTATACATTCATCAACGAGAAGCGGCCAGAATTGGTCGATCGTAAAGGTGTTACATTCAACCAGGACAATGCTAGACCAAACACATCTTTGATTACCTGCCAACAACTGAGATGGACTTTAGTTATTTAAAATTCTTTTTCACAGTACTAATAAATACAAAATATAAATAAATTAATAAAATATTCTACAAAAAAAAATCCTAATAATTTAAGGACGTTAGAGTGCGTTAAATTTGAAAAGGAAATAAAATATTACGTTTTGTTGCTCACAGAACATCACCCATCTTACTCTATAAAACAATTGCAACAACTACAACAACTGCTTACTTACGCCCCCTTTTTATTTGGTGTTGCTCGTTTGGCGCAAAGCAAGACTTTTCAGAAGATTTACAAGAATCGAGAAGAAAAATGCAAAACAACAAAAAAAAATTGAAAAATAAAAAATTTAACCACTCCACTGTACATACATACGAGTATGTATTTATATGAAGATATTTGCTTTTGCTTCATCAAAGCACAGTAAAGTTAAGTCACGTTAAAAAGACCGGCCGCCTCAATGGCTAGCTGATCGACAGTTACGCGGACGGTCAAAACGTCAAAGTGCCACTCTAAGCCGGCGCACACTGGACTCTTACATACATACATACTTACATATGTGTATGTACATAATAGCTAGCTGCTTGTTGACGTTGATGTTGCTTACATTTATTTGTATTATGTGGAGGTGGAGGTAAAAGTGGAAGTGACGATGATGGAGGTGGTGGTGGTGGTGGCGTGATGTGCCGCTGGTTTGGCGTGTGTTATTATATGCCAACGATACTACGTTGCTTGCTTGGCAGCTCGGTTGTTTGGTTGGTTGGTTGGTTGGCTGCCCCTAGCCAGCCGTAGTCGTCTGAAATACATAACTTCTATACTCATGCATGTATGTATGTATGTATATTTTGTTACATTTTTGGTATGATGACGCCATCCCTACACACTCGGCACCAGAGGTTCCATTTCTATTACAATATCAGATAGTTAAGCGTTTATTTAGTGAATAAAAACAAACAAACAACAAGAACTACAGCAACAAAGTTCCTGGTTTTCCAAAAAATATTGGGATGAGAAACTTATGTACATACATACAGTATGAATGTTTGCATGAGACTCGAGAGTGTGCTGGAGTGTGAGTGGAGCCCATTTTCGTATATTTATGTGCCCTACCCACTTTTGCAAACAACAACTATACATGCAATGTATGTAATTTATGCAGGAATAGTAAAAAAGGAAAAAGGATGAAAAAATTGAGTACCGTAGTACCTACTTAGGTAAATGTAGAAAATAAAATTGAAATTTGTCGCGAGAAGTTAGAAGGATGAGATATTTATTAAATTAAAAAAAATAAAATAAAATTATATTGAACTAAATATGCGTCTCTAAAGTAATTAACTAAAAGCATTTATTCTAATTTTTTTTATTTCTTATTTTTTTATTTCTTATTTTTTTATTTTTAATAATTTTTATTTTTAATATTTTTATTTTTATATTTATTTATGCATTTATTTATTTATTTATAATTTTTATTTTTATTTAATTTTTTTATATTAATGGTTTTAGCGACTTTTCCTTTATTTTAAATTAAAAAAGTTTGCCGGCTTGAGATCCGAATAAATAAAAACATACCTTCACACGGTTACTGATGTGTAATGGAAATATATCTATTTTTATTTTTTTTTTATATTTATTATTTTTTTTAATTTTTTTTTTATTTTTATTTATATTTATAAAATATTTATTTTCCTTTAATAATTTTTTATTATTTTATTTTTTCTATATCATTGTTGTATTTTTATTTCTTCTGTTTTATGTGTATATATTTTTATTAAAATTTTCATTATTAACATTCTTTTATATTTTTATTTATTATATTTGTATTTTTATAATTTTTTTTATTTATTTTTACTTTGTTTGATTTTTTTATTTGATCTTTAATTTTGATATTTTTATTTTTTATAAAATTTTTACTTATACTTATTATTTTATTCTTTCTTTTAATTTTTCTTTATGTATTAATTTTTATTATTTTTTAAATTTTTTTTATTATCATTTTTTTATTATTCTTTTTATAATTTTTTTATTATTTTTATACTTTATAACTTTTTTTTATTTATATTTTTTCTATTATTTAATTTTCATTTCTCTACTTTTATTGTTAATTTACATTACGATTTTTTTTTGCAAATTAAAAGTCACT